ATGGAAGGCAACTGAATACTTCACTCATGGCATAGATTTTCCGTAGAACTGTGGTAAAAGAACTTCCTTCTTTTCTTTTTAATCTCACTTCCTTGTATTCAATACACAATGATCCAATTTTCAGGAAGGGAGAAGCGGCCAATCAAAGGGCTGCCATATAACAAACAAATGGCGAGTCAGGCGGCGATTGTGGGGTTCGAACACACGTCCTCTGAAGTGGTAATTTGGTGACCTTACCAACAGGCCACCACTGCCCTAATTACAATCAACAAATCGGATTGCAACAGCTCTGATCGAACAGGATAAATTGGTTATTTCATTTTTGACAATTCATTTTTGTGTCACAGTTCATTTTTTTATTCTGAATTGATAAAAATAAATTTCAGGACAGAAGAGATTACCACCAATCTAACAATAGTTTCAGCAAAAAATTAGCTGATTTTATCAACTTAGGGCTGCAATTGTAATGCAGTTTTCAAATATTACTTCTGGTGTGATTCTCCAGTGACATATGTCTTTTCAATGTGAAGAGAAAACAGCTGAAGAATGAGTGTGACATAGGCTTCGATAAACCCCACGTGTTTCGCTCAATATTGATCTTTGACCAGAAAAAATCAATCAAAAGTGGCTTATTTTATTCAGAAATACTGCAAAATATGCTATCCGGTATGTCAGAAATCCACTTTTTCCCATACCAGTCACAATCTATGGAAAGCTAGACCAAATTNAATTTTTGATGCTCTATGTCCACTGGCGGCCAGGAATACTATTCTCTATAGGATAGTCTTTGTAAAGTGAGTGCTACACCCTTATTATGTAACCAGGAGCACCAGACCAGAAGTAATATTTGCAAACTGCATTGCAATCGCAAGCTTCATTTTATCAAATCAGTTTATTTTTTGCTGAAACTATTGTTACGTTGGCGTTCATCCCTTCTGTCCTGAAATCTATTTTTATCAATTAGGATTGAAGAAATAAACTATGACACAAAAAATGAATTGTTAAAAGTGAGATAATCCATTTACCCTATTCGACCAGAGCTGTTGCAGTCGGGTTAGTTCAATGTTAATCGTCCTTCCAGAATAAATGACAGAATTAACACGGTTCTGCGAAACATNAAACATCTGTTTGACGGGCGAAGTATTCGTTTGCTTCGTAATGCAAAATTAATTCCACGGACCGTAATAATCTAAACAAATTCACGTGGGGCTATTTGAAAAGCTGTTCGAGGGATTACTTTTATTATCTAATCACCGCCCTTTAGTCAAAATATTCCATTCTCTTTATCGTAAACGGACGTAGTAAGGACAAGAATGAATTAAAATGTTCCGCTTGTCTCGCGATTGATTGATACCTGTCACCATGAGCAACCACGAAAGCACCGTTATCTCTTCTTTATTTCCTTTATACGGACAGTAAATGTTCTTCGGGGGTTAACAGTGATGTACTAACAGAATATTCAGAAAACTCTCATTTGTGAAGCCCTACTCACTTGGCATATCCATTAGCCTTTGGTACAGCGAAGTTCCGGCTTCAGAACGGCAGATTTTGTTTTGGAGAAGTGTATGAGTTGTATCATAACACAGATCGTGGTCGATATAGGATTGAGGGACCTTTTAATTTCTATCTTAGTTTGACCATGATATTTTTACTTCATCTCCATGCGTACAGTTAACATGTTTCTGTGCATTCCTATTCTTTCTGGTTTACAATCCTAGACGTTTTTGAGCAATCAGGAACAAGTGTTCGTTACAACTAACTATTACATAGAGGCAACTTAAGAGTTCATTCTACTGGGCTCAACTGGTGTTTACCTTTTTACTCAATACATTCAGAAACTTTGTGCTTTCAAACAACTTAAAGCAGATTTTGAAAAAAATATTAATTTTTCTATGTAAAATATACTCTAGCTATACTCTAGCCGTACCAGGTGTCTAGCTGGAAATGGAAGTAAGGTGATGCACAGTAGTTCTGGCACAAGCAGCCTCTTTGTAAGGTGTGAACGGCTGCCGCCCAATTGGTTACTGGTGCCGAAATTAGTAGAATAATTACATNATAGTAATGAGGGGGTGTACCTTTTGTTATACCCGAAATAACGATACCCATTTTTGCAAGCTTGTTGTGAGTATCATGTCTCAGCCTCCCGGGTTTGGGCTCTTTGTAGTATGATAATAATGGCGGATTCCATTTTAATATATCGTAAATTTCATGATGTGCTTGCGTTCCACCTGTATAGGGACCCCGGATTCGGTCCCCATATAGAGTTGATGGTTTCCCACTGCGGATGAAACTCATTCAGGTTGAAACAGCGATCCAGTGATTCCTGTCTGTTTATTTCACCTCGTATTTGCTACGTACGCTGCAAAACTCAACACATAAGTAAGAAAGATAACCGAAAATTCAGTAGCTGAAATGTTTTAAAGAAACTGTATGTGTGCAAAGATCACATAAGGTCTTGGTTGATATAAACACCAAGGCTCTTCCGGACTGTGTCATTCACTAGAATTCAATCGCATCTGAATGCGATCTTCGGGGGGGGGGGGGAGGGATCTGTATAAACTTTCGTAACAATAGGGCGGTGGTGGAATGGTGGTAAAGTCACTAAATTGTCACCCCGAGATTGGTGTGTGTTCGCATACCACCACTACCGCCTGACTTTCCCCACTGTGTGTGTTGAATGGCAGCTCTTTGATTGATCGCTTTCCCTATCCTGAAGTAGCCAATTAAAAACAGATAGAAATCTATCAGTATAGAAAGGCACCAAGGTATTCTGTGCGTTCACGAAGTTTTAGACCGTTTTATGTTCCAACCTTGCAATCCTGTTCATCTCCAGATCGTTTATCTGATCACTCGATCTGTTTGAAACACTCTCCGTGACTCACATAGTCGATCCGTTAGTTCACCCCATGCCATGCACAATTCTCCTATGTCATACCGTCACGATTCCCCCTGAAGGTTTGTTTGCATCAAATATTGATTCTCACGCGTCACAACCGTCGTTTAAACTTTGTCCACTCATACCATGGACTGTGTTAATGCGTCATACTTCCTTCACTGCACTGGGCCGTTGAACCACGATACGTCACACCTTTCCACTGTCTCGTTACTCCTGGCTCATCTAGTTTGTTTGTTTGCGGTGGTGGAGGCGCAGTGGTTTTTTTGCTGTCACTGGCGTGCTTTGGACCCTGTAATCCAAGGTTTGAGCCCCGCAACCGCAACCGCCACCCAACTTTGATGATAGACAGTTCTACTGTCGTCCGGTTCAAGGCCACGCATAACCTATCGTGGCCTTATTCGATTCGCCATTCCAAGTTCTGGGGTATAGGTCGCCATTTTCTACCACTGAACAGCAGGTCCTCGTGACTATAGGATTCGCCCCGTTTGCTGTTCGCCACACTTAGGTGCGTAATGAAACAAATTAAAGAAAAGCTGGTTACACGCTTGCTAATTCTTTTTCTTCTCTCTAAATCATCATGACCCCAGTCTCTGCGGTGAATAATAGAAACCATTTATATCGAGAACTACTTGAATCAATGATCCTGGGTTCTTGAATACGGTTTTCATTGTTCACCCACCATACTCCTGTTGATGCACGTTGTGTGTATTGTTTGTATACCTGGAACCGAATAGTTCCATAAATTGCATCTTGAAACTACCGAATGTATATTTTACACCTGTCTGAACTCCGACTGTGTGCCAAAAAATGAGAGATTTGTTTGTGGGTGGAATACTGTCTGATTGCCCTGGCCAAATCAGATGAATTTTCTTGAGAAATTCACAACCGGACCCTTGGACTATCCATAGTTTGATCTGCACAGCAACCGGGTGGTGTGTGAAAAATCGCAATCCATTGGGGACAGGTGTTCAGTTCATCGGATCAAACGCCCTTTGAACGGGGTCAAGGGATCAAGGGACCCAGTACGCCTCGATACCAAATGGATCCGGTAACCATTGCCACAACCAAGAAGGAGCCGGTGGATGCCACTCGCACGCCTCTTCTTGGTTGGTTTGGAATCGGAGTTTTTAGCCAACTCTTGCCATAGGTTCCCTGATCTGCTTATAACCCCGGATGTTGGTTTGTCGTCGTACACCCCCTACTTTGGTGAGAAAACACCTACACAACGAGAAAGAAACAATCAGGGCTTCCTCAGAAAACGCTACTTGAGGTGCTTGGTTGAATAAATGCACTTCGCGAGGTATAAAAGAAGGTGACCGGCCACAACCGACCCTGACTGTGGAGTATATACAATTTTCAGACTGTGACTACTCATGAGTAGTTGAGAGATAAATGTGAAGTAAAATCCAGTCTAGTTAATTACTGGAGCATGCTTACTGTGTGTGGCAGGTTTCTGATGACCTGAGAACAAATTTCATAAGTAATTTTGTTCATCTCGATGTGAGGTAGTAGGCACAGCAACAATACACAATTCTTCCACTCTATGGGCTCGGAGTTCAAATCCCGGACAAGATGAAGGATTTGCATTATGCGATGAGCTCTAACCAAAGCAAAACTCGGATCGAGTGTTGCTTTCAGAATGAATAGTTCTGAGTGGAGGAGCCAAGGGCTGTTCACGAATAAGAAGTCGGAAGGATAAACAGTCCAAATCGGTAACGCACACCACTTCTCACAACTGACCATGGGTTGGCCACATGTGAAATAGTCTTCCGTCGTTACACACGACAAACAATCAGGCACGTATAACTTCATCTCAGTCATTCACTGGATTGTCTGATTCATTGGAATCCATTAGGCTATGTTGCATAATAGGAAACCACAATCGGACGCATCCCTTCCGTATATCATCTGAATGAATGAAAACAGCTTCATGTCGGAGATCATATTGCAAACGAAATGATACATTGTACGAATCAACCGGAAGTGCACAGCCAAATTAAACATGTTCATGTGAAAAGCACGATTGGGTACGCGTTAAGTAGTCTTGCAGGTGCACGATATTCATAAATGATCAGTGTCAACGGTAATCACAAATCTATCACATTCAGACAGCTGTTGTGTACGATATGGCATCCTCCGTCTTTTCAATCCTCGATGAAGACTGCCTCTGTCTCGTGATCGGTTTATAATACTTTCGGTAAACATAGAAAAAGTTGCCCATGGACACCGTGGCCCAGGCAGCATAAATCAGCACGTGTCCCAGAAGTGCCAAATATCCACAGTACGCGAACGTGACAGCTGCCATCAGAGCCTGTAGCAAGCAACCAGGACGAAGGGGCGGGGTGTGAGCAGGATGAAGGACAAAACGAATTTAGTACAATGAGATCCTGTTCTGTCAAATGTGGATGCACCAGAAAATGCATGTGCATGAACTGGGATGAGAGTTCAAATCATGCCGTAGATTACTCAAATCGGATGTCACGTGACTGATCAGCCTGGTTATTGATCTCAACATTGTCGAAAAGCCTTTATTGATTTGTATTTCATCCGTTAACCCAGTAAATCGTTTTGACAAAATTACAGTCAATTCACTGACTGGTTTTCTTCCTAAACCAGGGCGTACATTTAAAAACCCATGAGCCATTGTGAGTTTAAAATTCACAACATAAAACATTTGATGTTGAGCAGCAGTATTCTTTACCATTGTGACAACTTATTGGGTGTTGCTGGTATCGAAATTGCGCTATTTCAAGGTTGATTGCTCACTTCGTTACTGAATTCCGATTGACAGAAGTTGGTCTTAAATAAGGAATTAATTTTACAAAGACCTCACTCAACTGCTCCAAACTTCTGAGGCAGCGGAGATCGTGGTAGTCTCTCCAGATAAGGTTCAAGCTTTTCTGGATAGCTTGAGTGTTAATATATCCATGTTTGGTATGTATTTTACACCTTCAACATGTTACTACAAGACTGAGTTCGCCCAGCGCCCAACCTCATCCTGACAGGGGAAGCAGTAGAGAAAGTGGACAAATCTTGCTATCTAGGCAACTATATCTCACCAAGTGGACGCTTCAAAGATGAAGTGTCGGCACACATAGAGAAGGCTGGTTTGGCATTTGCCAACTTGAGAAATCTTTGATGCCGTCGCGACATTTGGCTATTTGTGAAGGGTCCAGTGTGGTCTGCAGCGCTTTGGCCTGCGCTGCTTTACGGTGCAGAAGCTGGGTCATTACGAGAATAGGATAGAAATATTCTGTCGGTGTTGGAACACTACTGTCTACGTGGGGCAACTGGACAGGCAACTCCCTGAATGGGGACCTCGGGATGGCATCGTGACCGACGGTTAATCAGAAACACTGAACGATATGACTGAATATCACAAACAGTGCTCTCGTGCATCTACTCCTTATCCTTGAAACTTTATTATTCACAAATTCTCTATTTCACCTTCGCAGTGCTTTCAACATTTCACCCTTACCTCTACGCTTTCAAACAAATGGGCAGCCAAAGAACAGCAACCAAAACCGCAGCACGAAGATGTATCGTTAATGGTAGTAAAAACTGAAACTGGAATTGCGGAGCACGCCGTTTGCTTCGTGGGATTCGATAAGGTCCGACAGTATTCACATTTATCCCCGAGTAAAATAAAATGCTTAACGACTGACAAATCCCCGAGATTGGTCATGAGAACAATGGTAACGTCACCCAATGATCACTCCGGGGATCTGTGTTCGAATCCCACCACCGCCGCCTTACTCCCCAATATGTATTGAATAATAGCCCTCTGATTGGCCGCTTCCCCCTTCTTGAAAATTGTATCTATGTACTTTCAACAAAAGGAATTAAAATGAAAAAGAATGTACTCGCATTTCGTCTAGAATTTACAGAGAATTAATACGTATTCCATGCGCAATAACAGGTTCCGTACTTATAAATGTATTTGTTAGAGATCAGTTGGATTATTCCATTCGTTTTATCACAAACATCTCGCACAGCTTATTACCTTGGGTATGGTGGGATGCGAGATCAATAATTTCCTACCATTTAATTACATTTCTTCCACATCACGTTCCACTGTGAAATGTGAAATGGGCTATTGGTGAACGACTCACGTGAACAAAACGGAAAAGCGAAAACGTTACGGTCAGATTGGTTTCATCGTCCCGGTAAATTGTGCTGATTGCTGAGCTCAGCTGGGTGTTCCATACCGAGTCAACCATGCCCAGGAAACAGGACACCAGCATGCATAGAGCAGGACTGAAATGAAAGCGAAACCGGTATGTAAAGACAAAACCGAGTGTACGTATGCTTACCGAATAAGGAAACCGCATTCGTCGGAATCACACTACACTAATGGAAGAAAGGAAGAAATAGTTTAGTGAGTCAAGCGCAAACACATCTACTCATGGGGTATTTCAACGCTTCACAGCTCAGTTGCAAGTATGAAGAGTGGAATGGGAATATAAAACCGAGTACGAGCAGTATTTCATTGTTTGAAACAAAAGCGAACTTGAAGCCATCTCCAACCGGCTTTTACAATCAGCTTCGTAAGGCTGTCTAAACTCTTGGAATTGGGATTAGTTGTCAAAGTGTGTAGATCTGGTGAGCAAAATCCACGGTGATTAATGGTTGAAAACGGAAGGGAGGACCAATCTTATAACAATGAGAAAATACAAGAGGGAATTCTAATTACAGATGACTAACACGGTCCAAAATTACCAATGAAAAAGATCAGGCAGCAGCGCAGATATAAAAAACATTCGGATGTGGGACGCGGTCGAGATTCAATAGGGGTCGAATGTTCGGAGGAGAATAAAATCCACTTGGCGCGTAAAGATTTAAGAAGTCTTTCGGACGCAAATGTACAAAATGAAACAAAATGTGAAGACTTTAAGAATTGTGAGTAGTAGGGGATTTGATTCAATTTCAAAGGTGGATTCATCGTGTATATAGCAAATGAAGCGTGACCGGAAAAGCTGGGAAGCTGTTTCGACCTAATTGGGTCTCATCAGCATTGCGCGTATCCATCAATCCAACTGAAGATAGAACCCGGAACCTTACAGGTAGAACGCAAGCATGCTACCCACACCCAATCAAGTCATAACCTGAGGGCTAGTGCTGAGATGAGCAAGGTCTGTGGCCCGGTAACAAGCTCGCAAACATGGGCTATACCACAAGAATTGCAGATAAATAAGAGTACGAATGAAGACTAAAAGTGAAGGGGTTTGATCTTGTAGAACACAAATATGTAAGAAACAGGGTTTAGAGGTAATTAAAAGGGATCGATAACAGTACTTCAGAAAGCATTGGCATCAAAACCTGAGATGAGTAAAGCATGCACAGAAAATCGATCATGAGTAATGGTGGAAAAGGTTGCTTTACATGAATTGCAATAAAAAACATGGTAAAATGAAGTCATCGACATTTCTGAAATAAAAAAATTGTCTTTGAAAGAAAGAAAAATTAGGTGAGTTAGGTCAAACATAACGGAGTCGCTGGAGTCCGCTAAGAAGGCACTAGGCGAATGCTTTTAAAGGCCCTGTATTTTGACAGAGAAGAGCAATTTCCCACTCCTCAGAGTAGACAACGCTTTGCATAACAATGATTAATAAACTGATTATTTTCTTTCATAGAGAAAAATACGAATAAATGCACTGAAGATTTGAATACCTGTTCTAATTAAAATAAAAATTTTTTCCTGTAAAAGATGAAAAAATGTGATTTATGACAGCAGCTAATGTTAGTTAAATCGTGAGCGTCATTTTGAAGTAAACTAGACAAAATTTGACAAAAATCGGAGGCGATCGCCGGTACTGATCACAACTCAGAATATTTTATGAATTAAGACGAGAATGCACCCACAAATCTCCTCTGTATCAACCAGTCTCACTTGGGTGTGATATAGGTCTGCTCGTTCGAGTCGGTCATTGGGCTGTTCCCGGGTAGATTCAAGAAGAAAATTAAGACACCAGTAAGTCCAGGCACGTAACCAAACAGGCACATAATCCCGTCCGATGGTAACCAGCGCTTGAGAAAAACAGTACAGCTACCTGGAATGGACAAAAATTTGATTTTTTTAAATTTGTTTTTATAACCAAGTAGGACTTGTTTGGTAATTGGTTTCCACTTACCCAACACTTCGCCAATGCCCACGAACAAACCAGCCAATCCAATGTAAGCTTTAGCCTGATCCCCAAAGGCCATGGTGTGCCCGACACATGTGGCAAACAAGCTTGACATAAAAGACACATTCACACCTGTGTTGTACCAAAAGCAAAGAACAGTAAGTGGACAAGTAAAGGCATCTGACTGCAGAATCGGAATGTGTATGAGTTGGAAAAAGCCGGTAGTACTTCGGTAAACTGCAAATATTCTCATATATACAACAGAACAGAATAGAATCGAAAGATGTATTAAACATATTGGTGACACTGGACAGACAGTTCGTTAAAAAGGTGAATTGAGTGGGTTAGCACATTGATTCAACGGATCATGTCAGTTACCTCAAACAGAGCTACACTATGGACTAGATGAGCAAGTAGTACAACAAGCCACAACACGACCGAAATGAAACCAAAATTTTCCCACTAACCGCTTTTGTATATTTTTCCTTGTTTCACAGCTCCGACACGTCTGGGGTGTCAGGGTAATAGATAAATAGTTAATAAATACGCATAATGAAGCGATTGTTCGCCATAAATAAAAATTCCGTTACTCCTCATTACTGCTTCCTAGGATGAGACGGATGATCACAACAGGTTTGTGATAGACATCAATGGAGAGGGACAATATCCAAGAAAATTTGATTACAGTAGTTTTTTAGAAAACAACATGAAAAAAACAAGTTTCAGAGAGGTATTTAATCATTTTTAGTCACTCAAACACACAAAACTTCAAAGTTATAATAATTAGTTGTGCGTTTGCTCAAACGATATCAGTGATATATGCAGATAACCCAAGCTTATAACCTGTATCATAGTGCTGAGTTAGCTTGTAGTACTGGATTGTTTTTTTAACTGTCATCCATACTCATGTGACACGTTCTCGAACTGACTTGTTTGTCTTCTTTTATTATCGGAATCGGTGTGACTTTCTGTTTGTGTATATTTCACCCCTTGATAATTCGCGAATCTTTTGCTCGCTTAAAACAATTTACTTTGAATTGAAATCGAGTAAACAGATTGATATAGATAAGCAAAAAGTTCTTTCATTGTTGTTTGGACTCATCAATAATACATACGTTTGTATCCCTACTGAGACTAACTGAGAAGCTTCGTGTTGGGAGCTGAAATACTTGCCCGTGAACTACAGGATCATCTCGCTGACCCAGGGCTAAAACACACATTTATAACTAAACCGATTTCAACCTATGCCACAAAATTATGGTAGCACTGGCATCGTTAACTTAAACTGAAGATAAAAATAACAGACAGCTTGATGTGCGGTATTATTTGATCATATTTTGATGTTTCCAATGTTTAAGACAGATACGTTTTTTTAGCTGCATACAATGCTGAAACTGGGTTTTATTTGGAGTCATATCTTTTGGTGTTGCTAGTTTCAGTTTCAGTTGGTACAACCATTAACAATGCAGTATCGTGCACCAGTTTTGATGCCTGTCTTTTGGCTGCCCGATTTGGATGAACATCAAGAGAAAGACAGGAGAGGTTGAAAGTAGGATCGAAGAGAAAATTCAGAATTTCGTTAGACAACTTTTGCGAATAAATTGATAAGATACATGAATGCCACTGATTACTACACTCAGCTACATCACGATAATCCCGAAGTCCTCATCTAGGGAGCCGAACGGGACCTATTTGACCCAACACCCTGGTTATGGTTTTTATACCCTCATGCTAGGTCTTAGCTTGACCATCCTTGGCTTTATTCCACCCATTTCCTGCCTCGGCAAACATCGCTCGACGTGGCAACCTATTTATTGACATGCTGAATACATGTCGCAACCTACGTAATCTGTGGAGATCGACCCCTTGCTCCACTGGGCGACCGCGATTGTCTAAAACTCTGCGCCTAATCTCAGCATTGCTCGTCTGGCTTCCTCACCAGATTTGAACAATGCTACGCAGACAGCGGTGTTCAAACACTGACAGTCTATCTTTATCCTGTTTTAATGATGTCCAAGTTTCTGCTCTTTATAGCAGAACTGTCCGTACTGCCGCGGCATACATTTGACCCTTCACAGACAGCCAGAGGTCGAGGCGCCGCTACAGATGTCTCGAGTTAAAGAATTCCAATCGAGCGTTCTGTATGCGAGCTGGTAATTCATTTGTGATGCTTCCACCGGGTGTGATGTAAGTTCCCAAATAACAAAACTTGTCCACTTGCTCTAGTACTTCCCCCAGTTAGAGTGAGGCTGGGTGCTGGATCAACCTAGTCTTGAAGTAACATTTTATACTTTAAAGGTGTAAAACGCAAACCGGACATGGCAACACACTCTCTATAAATATATTCCATGTCAAGATAATTCAAGATAATTCAGCACCTGGTTTAGAAGATACTCAACTACTTGGATTTCAGGATTCAATAAGATGTTGGTGAGCTTACGATCAGCAACTTTTTGCCATGTGAGGAATTTATTAGCATTTTAACTCGGTTATCAATTAATTTCTCGCGGGCTTAGTCGGCGGAGAATCTAACAACTAATGATAACAGAATACTCCTGCCAATATCCAACTGAGAAACCAAGGGAAGACGAAGCCATGCTGAAATCACTTATTCTTCCCGAGGTATGGTGGTACAGTGCTTTCCTAAGTGATATATTTCTCAGATACATCTTCAAGGAAGTTTTCCGCAGATCATCCAAGTCATCTGCATCAACAGTTGCCTAAACGATCGCCCGTCTCCGTGGGATGTGTTAATCTTCAATAACTCGACAATAGTAAAAATCTACTCTACTCAGTCACAGTCTAGCATGATCTTGGCATATCCGCTGTGATTATAATCGTTTTCAATCTCATTTAAATTCACAAAAGCTATCATAGTGATCAACATATTTCGTTTTTAGTTAATGAATGATTTGAGGAGATTGGTCAAACCTGTACTGGTTTTTAACAAAGTCATCTTTTCATGTGGTCAAGAGAGCGCGCGAACCTTTCGTACTTTGAGCTCCCCAATGGCTACCTTGCTTCAATGCAACCAGCTAATGACCACTCGCCCTATGATGTTAATCTCTATGAATCTCCCTGTCTATAATTTGATATTGTTTTAATGGTCTGTTGTTGAACAGAATTAAGAAGTTGTCATCCGTCTGATCAATAGGCTAAAATGATAGGCGGTAATATTTCAACAGGATCAAAGATCATCTGCCGTGAATTTATGACGGTGTATATAGATACCGTTTTCATTCATTCCAAACCCAAAGACACCGTCACCATCGGAATCGTTTTTTTTAACCGGATGAACACAATGTGAATGACCTTAGTTCACACTGAAACCGACTGGCAAATGGCTATCACCCTGACCCAAAAGCTTGTAATCGGGCTAACAGGGAATGAGACTGAATGCCATTGCTTTCCTTCCCCTAGGTTGAACAAACGAGGCAAAATGTCGCGTTCTAAAAGATGGTTTCCTACGAGACAGTTCAAATGTTAGAACAGGTATTCATTCAACA